CCTTCCTTCCCTCTCTTTCCTTATTACAGTGTAATCCTGGGTAAACACAGCATTCGTTATGATTCCTGAAAGTTTTGTTTCCGTGAGTCCAATTACATCCGGATTCACTTCTTGTGCTCTTTCCCTAAGTTCACTTGCCTTGCTTGTAATCCCATTTATGTTCGATTATATTTCCTTGAGGCTGACTCTTATGTCCATCCTCAGTTTCTGCACATTGCACCGGAGTAGTCAAAGGGTGTCCAAGGTGGGAGGGCCTAAGAAGGAAGACCTGGGGGATCTGGGGTGTGAGGTGGGGGAAATAAGGCATGGGATGGGGGAGCATAGGGCCATGTGGTGGGGGGGGGGAGGGAGGTCAGGAGTCGGGGGAATGCAGGGGAGTCTGGGGGATAGGAAGGAGAGCTTGGAGTGGGGGAAAGAGCATGGAAAGAGCATGGGGGGGGGGGGTGAGAATGGGGTGCCTGGGGTCGGGGGAGAATGGGGGGGTATGGTCTGAAGAGGGTCTCTACTGGCTGGGGGAGGTGCAGGAGATTGGTGGGGGGATGGTCCCACCTGTCTCACCCATAACAGCCACACATGGGGTGTGGTGTGTGTTGTGGGGTGAAGGTGTGGGGTGTGTTGTGGGGTGAAGGTGTGGGGTGTGTGTGAGGGTCGGGGGGGGGAAGCAGAGGGGGTGTGGGGAGGGGAGGGGAGGACCTGCATGAACACCCCCCCCCCTTATTATTTTCCCACGGGTGGGGTCCAGGCCGACGCCACCATCTGGACGGGGGAGGGGTGGTATTGGGGCGAGTGGGGTGGGGGGGGGGAGAGTGATCTCTGGTCCCTTCCTCCCCCCCCCCCCCTCCGCCCTGCGACAGCTGTGCTATCAACCTCGTGAGCGGTGGTGTGGGGGGTGCATGGGGGAGGTGAGGTTGTCTCGTGGTGGGAGTAGAGATGCTGGGGAGATGAATTGGGGTTGGGGAGGTATGTAGGGGGGATCGACGGTGAAATGTGGGTGAGAAGAAAGTGGGGAGAGAGAGAGTGGTGTGAGGGGAGGGAGGTGGGGAGAGGGGAAGGATAAGAGTGAGGTAGGGGGTGAGAGGCAGACGGCATGAGAGAGGAAGGAAGTGTGCTTGAACCTGTCATGTGGAATGTCTGCATCAATCACCCGTCATTCCTGCAGCAGCTCGGGCCATCACTGTACTCTTAACTTTTACATACGGAGAAGAAGAAATTCCAACTGCTACGAGGGTCATTAATCACAAGGCGACGGCCGGTCATATGTGCAGGTGACACAACGCAGGCGAAGATGATAAGAGCACTGAATGATACCGCAAATCGGAGTCATACATATAAGTAGTAAACACGTGCTGTTTCCTGATGATCATTCTTCTAGGCAGAAGAAAATGTATATATATATATGTTGGTTAGAAGTGTAAATGTCCGGCCACGTCTGTGGTAGAAGAAAAAAACCAGCCCTAATTTCCTCTGTCATATATACTAAAAATATCTCTCTCTCTCTCCCCCCCCCCCCCCACACACACACACGCAAGCATAATTAGGTGAGTACACACACACACAAATCATCATCATCATCATCAGGAAGCAGCCCGTAGCAGCTGTCTAACTCCCAGGTACCTTGTTACTGCTAGATGAACAGAGGCATCAGGTGAAAGAAACTGTACATTTGTTTCTGCCTCGAGCGGGAATCGAACCCGGAACTCGAACTTAGGATTGTGACCCTAGAGCGCTATACTATCCTAGTTGTGCTTGCGGGGATTGAGCTTCGGCTCTTTGGTCCCGCCTCTCAACTGTCAATCAACTGATGTACAGATTCCTGAGCCTATTGGGCTCTATCATATCTACATTTGAAACTGTGTATGGAGTCAACCTCAACCACATCACTGCCTAATGCATTTCACCTGTTAACTACTCTGACACTGAAAAAAGTTCTTTCTAACGTCCCTGTGGCTCATTTGGGTACTCAGTTTCCACCCTAGTTCCCCTTGTTTGCGTACCACCCGTGTTAAACAGTTTATCTTTATCTACCCCTGTTAATTCCTCTGAGAATTTTAGTGATCATGTCTCCCCTAACTCTTTGTCTTCCAGTGTCGTGAGGTTTAGTTCCAGTAATCTTTCCTCGTAGCTCATTCCTCTCAGCTCGAGGACTAGCCTGGTGGTATATATCTGAACCTTTTCTAACTTCGTTTTGTGTTGAAATTGAAATAAGTTTATTGAGGTAAAATACACACAAAGGGATGAGGTAGCTCAAGCTATTCTCACCCCGTTCAGCACATCGTGTTAATACATACATAGACACACATCACAAACAATAAACATATTATCCAACATTCTGAGAGATAAACATATACATTTCCTACCGTTTTGTGTTTGACTTCGTTTGTGTGTGTGTGTGTGTGTACTATTTGTATTTACTATTTGTGCCTACCAAATCGAGCTATTAGTTCTTGGACCCCGCCTTTCTAATCAATCCATTTTTCCTCTGTTATGTTTACTACATATATTTCTCTCTAACACACACACATCCTTGTTGTTGTGTGCGTGTGTGAGAACGCGTGCGTGTGTGTGAACGCGTGCATGTGTGTGAACGTGTGCGTGTGTGTGCGCGCGCGGTGTTTACCATCCTCTGGGAACCTCGGGCAGCAAGGGATGGAGCAGTGTCAGTAATCACCACCCGCCGCTGTGAGAGAGATAGTCATCTCTCTCACCCTAATACGAAAACTATTGTCTCTCTCATTTAGTCTGTGTCTCTCATCCAGTCTGTCTCTCTCATTCAGTATTTGCCTGTATCTTCCTCTCTTCTCTCACAGGACATGATAATGGTCCACGACGGACCGAAACGTTGTCGTTTCTCCATCTTCTGATGTGTGGTTTAGTCAGCCATCAAAATCGGCGTCTTCTCATACAAAAATAACACAATTATTACAGTATATTTCATAATTGTGGTTTAGGTTAGGTATGTTGCATAATGATTTGCGCATGTTTAGGATGCTAGTACAGCAGTAAGAAACGTGTAATTTGAAAAATAGGAAGTCAACGATTAACTCTTCGACAAAAATATTCAATCGAAATCAGTTGTTGATTGTGCGTGGCTGTTGTTTTAGACTCAGCTGCTTGGAACAAAAGAGTTCCAAGCAGCACGGGCTATGGTGAACCCTTCGTACTTACCTGGCACAGGAGATGTGCGGCTTAGGGAGTAGGAGAACTCCCAGAAGCACCACTATGCTGGACCTCTAGCTGTAGCCTAGCGCTGCATACCATTCTCTCAACCGTTGGCCACATGCTCCCATAATTCAGGCCGCCACCCTTCTTTGTTCAATATCTGAACAGCCTTTACGCATAATTCCTGCAACCAGTCCTCAGGTTCAATCCATCCAGCGGCCGACCCCAAAGACGCAATCATCAATATTAACGTAGTGGGATATTCAAAATAAGTATGTCCTCAAATATAAGGTAAAATATAATATTACGTGCTAGAATGTGCTGAATAGTTAGGGCTAACTAAGGTGCCTACAGTCTGTCGGCCGTTATTGGTATTTGCCGTGAATTAACCTGTCCTCAGCCCAGGCACGTTAAAGCGGCGGCCGTTCCCCAAGACACATTTATCATGTTAAAGTGTTGTGTGTGTATAAAACAGGTTTGTTCGCATATACAAGTTAATATTATTATATATTAACGTTCAACGTATAGTTAGGCGTAGGTCAGGGGTTTAGGTTCTGTTGGCCATTATTTGTATTTGAAGTACGTGGGTGAAGCATTTATAGAATTGTGGTTCGAACAGAGGACGTGATCGAAGCACTTGTTCCGGAAGTGTTCGGACGCCATCAGTTGTGAGTCGTGTGTAAACTGCTTTCATTCATAAACAAGGGGGTATGGCGGCTGGATTAACGAGCTTGGATCTTTGCATGCGAGGCCGGGCTGCTTCAACAGCCCACGCCTGAGTCAATATGACGCGTTCCTGAAGCTAATATTCCGAAAAACATTCGAAACAAATGCACCCACTGTGGGCTAGGTCAGGAAGAGGGGGAAGAGGAGATACCCCACTGCGGCCACCACATGGGCATAAAGAGCTGAACCTCACACAGGGTAGTGTCCACCCTGAGGACAGCAGCAGGTGGACACCACACAAGTGCCACCACCCTGGGTTATCACCCCGGGGCAGCAGAGGGTGGGGACCCCGCACAGAGTTTAACCTGCTCCTGGTCTCCCGCGGCCCACCGGAAGAGCAGACCGATCCCAGCCCTACGCCGCCCTGTCATACGGGCTTGGGAAATTAGTGCCCCGGTCCGGCGTTAGAGCGGCCTACGCAGCACCGAGAGGAGCCCTCCTGGGGGGCCCTTAGGCCCGGGGCACCTAGGGGGCAAGTGTCGGGGAGCGTGCATGGTGATGGGTTACGCCTGCACGGCGCGGGGCGGGCCAGCGGCGGCCTGCAGGGTTATATTGTGGTGTCATCAGCCCGGGCCGCTCCTCCCCGGGGCAACAACGGCACGACGCGTGCAAGTTGCAGACGTCTCCTTACCTGTTGTTTCCGGGGCCTCGTCTCCTCCCTAGCTTGCTCCCCCCCACCCCATCCCTCTGGTAGGTAGGAGCATGGTGGTGGGGAAGGGAGGGGTGTGGTGGGGGAAGGGAGGAACGTGGTGGGGGAAGGGAGGGGTGTGGTGGAGAAGGTATGGGTAGGGGGAAGGGAGGAGAGTGGTGGGGAAGGTAAGGGATGGGTATGGTGGGAAAGAGAAAGGTGTGGTGGGCAATGGAGGGGGTATGGTGGGGAATGGAAGGACGTGGTGGGGAAGGATGGGACGTGGTGGGGAAGGACGGGGCGTGGTGGGGAAGGGCGGAGCGTAGTTGGGAAGGAAGGGACGTGATGGGGAAGGAAGGGATGGGGTGGGGAAGGGCGGGGCGTGGAAGGGCGGAGCGTAGTGCGGAAGGAAGGGGCGTGGTGGGGAAGGGACGGAAGTGGTGGGGAAGTAAAGGGACGTGGTAGGGAAGTGAAGGGACGTGGTGGGGAAGTAAAGGGGCGTGGTAGGGAAATGAAGGGACGTGGTGGGGAAGTGAAGGGGCGTGGTGGGGAAGGGCGGGCGTGTGGTCCTGGACAGTAAGGTGGCGAGAGGTTCACACGGTGTGCGTGGGAACCCGGCCGCTCACACACTCGCACACGCACTCACACATGAACGCCACACGCCGCGCACACACACACACACACACACCCACCCACCAACCACACGCCTCCCACACACCCCACAAACTCGCTCCACACCCACCCCTCGAGCCTCCTAGAGAGGTGCCAGTGCCACGCACCGCCAAGAGGGCCACGGAGGGCCAGGGAGGAGCACCCGAAGGAGCAAGCGCCAGGGAATTAAGAGTGGGGAGTGATCGTACGTCTGGCGGGCGCGCGGAGGGACCCCCGGCACATGGTTGTATATGAGGACGACCGCCGCCCGGCACACGACACTCCCCAGCCCGCCGTCGTCCCGCACACACGCACCGCGTGCTCTCACACACGCACGCACGTGCATGCATCCACAGTGCCTTGCGTTGAGGATTACGTCAACAGTTGCCTCCTCCTCCCCCCCCCTCTCCTTGACCTATTCCACCCCCACATAACTTCCCCCTGTTTTTTTTTTACATCAAAGTGCCTTAGTTAACGAAGTGACGATATCGAAACGTGACCAGTGTTCGAATTTTCGTATTTTCGAACATTATCAAGCGGCGGAAGCAACCTCTTACGAAGTGTCTTATATGATTGTGAGCGGGCGAGGGGGGGCGAGTGGTGGAGGCCAACAGCAGCAGGAGCAGCAGGAGGCAGCTGGCCTGCCCCTCCACCACCACCACCTCCTCCAACAGCAGCAGCAGCAGCAGCAGCACCTCCTCCAGCAGCAGCAGCAGATCCCCAACACCGCCACGCTGTGTAACATGAAGAGATCCTTGAGCGAGAGTGATGGCGACGACATCTATTCTGGAGACGAGAAGGAGTGAGTCTGATGAACTTTTTCCTCGCCAAGAAGAACTGTTCTTGTTCAACTGTGTTCATGTGTTCACTCGAGGGGGGCATCACCATCTATCTATCTATCTCTCCGTGTTCGTCATGTTCCCCGCGGCCAACTGTGTTCATCTGTGCTACATGTGTGTGTGTGTGTGTGTTCATCAAATACACGACTGTTTGTTTACGACCTGTGTTCATGACCACAGTTCATCGTGTTCACATGTGCTCATTTTGACCGGTTTTCTTCGTGTTAGCTTGTGTTTATTGCCATACGTTGTTCACCTCGTGTTCATCACCAGGTGTTTACCTAGTGTTCACTTAGTGTTCATTGCCACGTGTTCACCTATGTTTATTATCACGTTTTAACCCGCGTTTCTTGCCACGTCTTCACTTGTGTTGATATGTGCTCATTGCCACGTGTTCACCCGTGTTCACTATCACGTGTCCATGTGTTCACTCCCACGTGTTTACTTGTGTTCAATACCACGTGCCCACCCGTGTTCAACACCACGTGCCCACCCGTGTTCAACACCACGTGCCCACCCGTGTTCAACACCACGTGCCCACCCGTGTTCAACACCACGTGCCCACCCGTGTTCAACACCACGTGCCCACCCGTGTTCAACACCACGTGCCCACCCGTGTTCAATTGACACCTATGGTCACTCGTGTTCATCTTGTTCACATTTGACTCGAGTTCACTTGTGTTCATATCTTGCTTATATTTGTTTCAATAACCCGTGTTCACCCGAGTTCCTTACAATGTGTTCATCTTATGCCTTGGATATCTCTTAACTATGTTCTGGTATGCGTATGTTCATCATATATGTTCACCATGTTCACCAGAGTTTCTTACAATGTGTGGTGGTCTCGTGTCTTCATTATCATCCATATTTATGTTCACATGTTCATTATCCCCTGTTTTCATTTCGTTGTCACCTGTGTTCATTCACTATCCCGGGTGTTCATTCACTGTCCCAGGCGTTCATTCACTGTCCCAGGTGTTCATTCACTGTCCCGGGTGTTCATTCACTGTCCCAGGCGTTCATTCACTGTCCCAGGCGTTCAGTCACTGTCCCAAGCGTTCATTCACTGTCCCAAGCGTTCATTCACTGTCCCAAGCGTTTATTCACTGTCCCAGGCGTTCATTCACTGTCCGGGTGTTCATTAACTGTCCCAAGCGTTCATTCACTGTCCCAAGCGTTCATTCACTGTCCCAAGCGTTCATTCACTGTCCCAAGCGTTCATTCACTGTCCCAGGCGTTCATTCACTGTCCCAGGCGTTCATTCACTGTCCCAAGCGTTCATTCACTGTCCCAGGCGTTCATTCACTGTCCCAAGCGTTCATTCACTGTCCCAGGCGTTCATTAAGTCTTGTCACCTCTGTTAACTTATTCCAACTTCGCCCGAGTTGAATTTTCTTTTATCTTGTTCAGCCCTCAAATACCTCCAAAGAATTCAACTGCAGTAACTTGTTCACGCTTACCTGCATTCACTGTACGTCTGGTCCTGTTATGTTCACCCAACTATTGAACAGTATACTTAAGATATTTGTTCGTCTCTGCAGATGAGTTTCTGGTTTAAAACCCTTCCGTATTGTAACGCTTATTGTGTTATATATATATATATATATATATATATATATATATATATATATATATATATATATATATATATATATATATATCGTACGTAGTAGCCAGAACGCACTTCTCGGCCTATTATGCAGGGCCCGATTTGCCTAATAGGTCGAGTGACTTTTTTTTCAATAAATTGTTTCCAATTAGTTTATTTGAATTATTATTATTATATTATATTAAGACCATAATTTATTGACGTAGTTGTGTTAGCTATGTTAGGTTAAGATAGGTTAGGTTAGGTAGGGTTGGTTAGGTTCGGTCATATATCTTCGTTAGTTTTAACTCAAATTTAAACAAATGAACTTATACATAATGAAATGGACAGATTTATCATTTCATAAGAAAAAAATAGAAAAATATATAAATTCAGGAAAACTTGGCTTATTAGGCAAATTGGGCCTTGCATAGGCCCAATATACTTCATACATCAATATCAAATCTACATCGAGTTCTGGCTTGGCATTTGCAACATCCTGGGGCTTTCACCCATCTTTTTCACCTGTCTTGAATAATACAACACATTTAGACGTCAAATTCCCCAAACGAACAAAATTTAATGTAAAATAAATGACAACTGCTGGCAAAAGCATTCGCGTTTTCTGTGCGTTGGGTCCTCGATTAGGTTACGTTAGGCTCTGGGGAATTTAGTACATCATTTTATGTCCGTTATGACAACGCGAGAGGACGGGCTGCTCTGTCATCTACCTAATTAACTTTTGTAAGAAAAATCGATGAGGCTTGGGACTAACACTGTCAATATATTTTTTTTATGGCATTTGTTAATTGTTACCTCCGGGGTATCTTTTTGTAGACAATTGTATCAACAGTAACATTGTAGAATTGATAACTAATATCTTTCTTGTCTCAAGCTCAAGAATTTATAGCTGTCAACATTAAACTCCGTCCAAACACACAGACACACACACACACACTGAGACCTGGAACTTTAAGAACAAGAGGTCATAGATTTAAACTAGCTAAACACAGATGCCGAAGAAATATAAGAAAATTCACTTTCGCAAAGTGAATTTAGAGTGGTAGACAGTTGGAACAAGTTAGGTGAGAAGGTGGTGGAGGCCAAGACGGTCAGTAGTTTCAAAGCGTTATATGACAAAGAATGCTGGGAAGACGGGACACCACGAGCGTAGCTCTCATCCTGTAACTACACTTACGTAATTACGTACACACACACACACACACACACACACACATTGGATTGTCGGAAAGCCTTTGACACAGTACCGCATAAGAGGCTGGTACATAAGCTGGAGAGACAGGCAGGTGTAGCTGGTAAGGTGCTCCAATGGATAAGGGAGTATCTAAGCAATAGGAAGCAGAGAGTTACGGTGAGGGGTGAGACCTCCGATTGGCGTGAAGTCACCAGTGGAGTCCCACAGGGCTCTGTACTCGGTCCTATCTTGTTTCTGATATATGTAAATGATCTCCCGGAGGGTATCGATTCATTTCTCTCAATGTTTGCGGACGATGCTAAAATTATGAGAAGGATTAAAACAGAAGAGGACTGTTTGAGGCTTCAAGAAGACCTAGACAAGCTGAAGGAATGGTCGAACAAATGGTTGTTAGAGTTTAACCCAACCAAATGTAATGTAATGAAGATAGGTGTAGGGAGCAGGAGGCCAGATACAAGGTATCATCTGGGAGAGGAAATTCTTCAGGAGTCAGAGAAGGAAAAAGACTTGGGGTTGATATCACGCCAGACCTGTCTCCTGCAGCACATATCAAGCGGATAACATCAGCGGCATATGCCAGGCTGGCCAACATACGAACGGCATTCAGAAACTTGTGTAAAGAATCATTCAGAACTTTGTATACCACATATGTCAGGCCAATCCTGGAGTATGCAGCCCCAGCATGGAGTCCATATCTAGTCAAGGATAAGACTAAACTGGAAAAGGTTCAAAGGTTTGCCACCAGACTAGTACCCGAGCTGAGAGGTATGAGCTACGAGGAGAGACTACGGGAATTAAACCTCACTTCGCTGGAAGACAGAAGAGTTAGGGGGACATGATCACCACATTCAAGATTCTGAAGGGGATTGATAGGGTAGATAAAGACAGTCTATTTAACACAAGGGGAACACGCACAAGGGGACACAGGTGGAAACTGAGTGCCCAAATGAGCCACAGAGATATTAGAAAGAACTTTTTTAGTGTCAGAGTGGTTGACAAATGGAATGCATTAGGGGGTGATGTGGTGGAGGCTGACTCCATACACAGTTTCAAGTGTAGATATGACAGAGCCCGATAGGCTCAGGAATCTGTACACCTGTTGATTGACGGTTGAGAGGCGGGACCAAAGAGCCAGAGCTCAACCCCCGCAAACACAACTAGGTGAGTACAACTAGGTGAGTACACACACACACACACACGTACAAGTGCTGCTGTTCTCTGAACCATCTCTTGTCATTCGAATTTTGGCGTAACGGCTAGTTTATATTATTTTTTTTTAATTTTGCCCCGAGGAGCGAGTTTATTGGGAAGCGGCACTCGTCTTGTGAGTGGACACACCGCCATAGTGACAGTATTGGGCAGCGCCACTCATCTTGTGAGTGAACACACCGCCATAGCCGCATGTACAACACTCCCCAAAAGGAAGAAAACCCGCTGGGTTGTTCATCCTGTCAGATGACATGACAGATGACAATCCTGTCAGTTTATATTGTGAGGTTTCTTAGCGTGTAACACAGGATTATACATATGGTGCAGGAACTATATATATATATATTATATATATATATATATATATATATATATATATATATATATATATATATATATATATATATATATATATATATATATATATATATATATAGGCCCCTAATACCACCCCACACACACACACCAATATTCTTGGACAGTACAAAACATTCAATAATCAAAGTCGGATGTGTGCAATCATAGAATATTTACCCGCTCCTCCCCTCCCTCTCTCTCTCTCTCTCTCTCTCTCTCTCTCTCTCTCTCTCTCTCTCTCTCTCTCAACATCTTCCCCACCTCCCATCAACATCTTTCCCCGCCTCACATACACCAACCTATTCTCACCAGTCTCTCTCTCTCTCCTGTGAACAGCGGGGAAGACTGCTCGTCCAGCGGAGGCGGCGGGGCGTCCCGCAAGCGGCGTCGGGGCATCATCGAGAAGAGACGCCGGGACCGCATCAATAACTCCCTGTCGGAGCTGCGTCGCCTAGTGCCGGCCGCCTTTGAGAAGCAGGGCTCCGCCAAGCTGGAGAAAGCGGAGATACTCCAGATGACAGTCGACCACCTCAAGATGCTCCACACCAAAGGTAAGAATCTACTCATTATTACTCTTTAGGTGGGAGGTCACTGCCATGAGCTGGTAGGTCCTTAGTCGTACGTGGCCGTGACAAGACATGCCCTTGATCGTACGTGGCCGTGACAAGACATGCCCTTGGTCGTACGTGGCCGTGACAAGACATGCCCTTGGTCGTACGTGGCCGTGACAAGACATGCCCTTGGTCGTACGTGGCCGTGACAAGACATGCCCTTGGTCGTACGTGGCCGTGACAAGACATGCCCTTGGTCGTACGTGGCCGTGACAAGACATGCCCTTGGTCGTACGTGGCCGTGACAAGACATGCCCTTGGTCGTACGTGGCCGTGACAAGACATGCCCTTGATCGTACGTGGCCGTGACAAGACATGCCCTTGGTCGTACGTGGCCGTGACAAGACATGCCCTTGATCGTACGTGGCCGTGACAAGACATGCCCTTGGTCGTACGTAGCCTTGCCACATCCCACCACACTGCACAATACATTTGGAGAGCACTGCACAGTACTCTCCAAAAACTCAAAGATTAAATACATTAGATTCATCCTGGCGCTGGGACTCTCGCAGCTGTTTCAACCGAATCCATTGTTAAAAGATATCATCATCCTCACATTCAAAAGTTGACGTTCTCACACACATGATCCAAGTGCAGAAGAATGTCCTCAGGCCGCCTCCAGCTCTCCGCCAAGAGCGGCTGAGGTTACCTGCTGGATGGGCTTCTGGGAGTTGTTCTTCTACTTCCCTAAGCCCGAAACGAGTTTATTTGCATGACTCGTTGCGCGAAGGGCAGCATGAAGAAGTCAAAATCCCTTACTGGGATCTCTGTCCTATAATCTTATATATAACATACGTCTCAATTATAGGAGAGTGCCCCCCGTCAAGTCCCAGGCTGAGGTGACCATGAGAGAATACTACCGGCGGACGATGGCAGTTCTGGGGGATACGAGCGGTCGGTCCCATGGTCTCGGTAGTTCATCTTACTCTTTATGGGGGGGGGGGGGAAGTGTTGTGGTGTTCCTTTGGCACCTTCAGTAGCCGACTAACTGGTCGCTTCTCTCTGACCCGCCGCCACTTCTGGCCTTCTGTACCCCCTCCCCCACCCCTGCCTCTCTCTCTCTCTCTCTCTCTCTCTCCTCTCTCTCTCTCTCTCTCTCTCTCTCCTCTCTCTCTCTCTCTCTCTCTCTCTCTCTCTCTCTCTCTCTCTCTCTCTCTCTCTCCCTCTCCACACAGCAGGTCGACAGCTTCCTGGACGCCTATGGGGATCACACCGGAAGCACCAATACGACGCCTATAAGAGGGGAAAACCCCGAAAAAAAGAAAGTCCCCTTAGCCAAAAAATATGCTTGAGATTATAGCACACACACCTTAAGGTTGGGGGGGAGACGCCCGGTTACCTGATCGTGTGTAGGTCGTGTTTCCCTAGAATGGTAACAATGGCTGCCGTGAGCCCTGTGACTCTCACAATGGGCTGACGTGGTGGGCCGCTTCCCAAGGAAATTTGAAGGCTGTGGGTCGGCGAGGAAGGGGGTGAAGGGGGAGGAGAGAGAGAAAGAGAGAGAGAGAGGGGGGGGGAGAAGTTAAGGCGGGAAAAAGAGTGCGAAAGCGAGGAAGGAGAGGAAGCGCATGGAGTGCTTTGTGGCATGTTGACAGTGGGTTGTAGTTAGCGCTGTTAGTTATTACTGCTGCTGTTTGGCTGTACTGGTAGTGATGGTGCTGATAGTGATGGTAGTGATGGACGCCTGCTGGTATTGCAGGCGGTAGTTCTTTTAAATGATGGTATCGTTGGCTGTGGCTCTTGGCGCCCCTGATAGGGTTGACAGTAGTAGTTCTGGGGTGCTGGGATTGTCTATTCAGCTGGTAATAATATATATTATGATTTTGGAGAGACGTAAGCACACGCGCGCGTGCACGCCCACACACACACACACACACACACACACACACACACACCACACACACACACACACACACACACACACACACACAGAGTGATGTGGTCGAGGCAGACTCCATACGCAGTTTCAAATGTAGATTTGATAGATCCCAGTAGACTCCGTTTACACCAGTTGATCGACAGTTGAGAGGCGGGACCAAAGAGCCAAAGCACAACTCACGCAAGTACAACTAAGTGAGTACATATACATACAGACAGACAGGTAGACAGACAGACACATACAGAGTGGGGTGGTAGTGGGGGGGGGAGAGGGAGGTAGGACTGGTTGAGAGGCAGCACCTGGGAGTGGGTAGGACCCATCCTTTGTGACCCACGGGAGCAAAAACTGATGGTGGGGCAGCAGGTGGAGGCTGGGATGACGGAGGGAGGGAGAGGAAGGAAGGAAGGAAGGAAGGAAGGAAGGAAGGAAGGAAGGAAGGACGGAAGGAAGGAAGGAAGGAAGGAAGGGAGCACGGAGTTAGGCAGCGGAAGTAGGCCTATATATACACAAAGTATACAACGCTTGTCACCACACACACATTTAAGATACAATAATACAAAAATTGTATTTGTTTAGTACATTTATAGTTGGTCCTTAAACGTCACAAATACAGCTAGCAATACACATACACACACACACACACACACACACACACACACACACACACACCACACACACACACACACACACACACACACACTACTGGAAAGGAAAAAACCTAATAGCGACATACAAGGTACTGAGCAGACAAGACACACTAACAATACTGGAGACTCCACTCACAAGTTGGGGCCCCGGGAGCTAGAGTTCAGCCTTCGCACGCTCAGCACTGTGAGATAGGCAGAAGCGCGCACACACACACACACACACACATACTCTCACACACATTAGTGGGGTGGGGGGTGAGAGGGGGAATGGGGGGGTGCAGTTTCCCATGCCCTGGCCAGGGGTATTGTGCCCAGCTGAGGAAAAGAGGGGAGCCCTTACAAAGGGCTCCTGCCACCCCACCCCAACACTCTTCCCCTTCTTCACTTAGGCAAGATTTACTTCCTCCTGCTTCCTGCGGGTCTCTCTCTCTCTCTCTCTCTCTCTCTCTCTCTCTCTCTCTCTCTCTCTCTCTCTCTCTCTCTCTCTCTCTCTCTCTCTCTCTCCCAAGAAGTGCTTCGTTACATCGGCTTCTCTACCATCTACACCTGCTGCCCCCCCCCCTCCCTTGTTCTGAAGTTTTTGACTGCCCTGTTAATTCCTTTATAACATCTTGTACGTCGTGATCATGTCACTTCTGCGACTTCTTGTTCCTCGCTTTCCAGCGGTCTCAGAGACCGGACCGTGGGAATATCGATCCTTGGAGCCAAGTCTATGGCAAAGAGCTCGATTTTTCTATCTTGCTTCTTTGTTTTGATGAGATTTTTATGCAGGGCTACACTGTGGCTACCTTGTGGGCTACCTTGTGGGCTATATTGGGGGCTCTCTTGTGGGCTACCTTGTGGGCTATATTGGGGGCTCTCTTGTGGGCTACCTTGTGGGCTATATTGGGGGCTCTCTTGTGGGCTCTCTTGTGGCTACCTTGTGGTCTACCTTAAGGCTCCATTGGGGGCTACCTTGTAGCCTGCCTTGCGATGGTTCCCTGGTGATCGCTGTGGACTAGTCAAGCCTCCTAGTTGACTGGTAGATGCTGCACACACACACACACACACACACACACACACACACACACACACACACACACACACACTGGAGGAATTCCGGGCATGCGACATCTGCAGACTCACCACCACCTGTCCTGTGCTTGTCCCCGTCACCTCCCTCCCTTCCTCCCTCCCTCGTCCCTCTCTCGTCCCTCTCTCGTCCCTCCCTCTTCTCTCATGCTCTCCTCTTCCTGCTGCCTCGCCTTAAATTAAGTTAATTTTGCCCCCCGGAGGGAGAGTTTATTGGGCAGCGTCACTCGTCCTGTGAGTGGACAAGCCGCCATAGTGACAGTATTGGGCAGCGTCACTCGTCCTGCGAGTGAACACACCGCCATAGTGACAGTATTGGGCAGCGCCACTCATCCTGTGAGTGGACACACCGCCATAGTGACAGTATTGGGCAGCGTCACTCGTCCTGTGAGTGGACACGCCGCCATAGTGACAGTATTGGGCAGCGTCACTCGTCCTGCGAGTGAACACACCGCCATAGTGACAGTATTGGGCAGCGCCACTCGTCCTGCGAGTGAACACACCGCCATAGTGACAGTATTGGGCAGCGCCACTCGTCCTGCGAGTGAACACACCGCCATAGTGACAGTATTGGGCAGCGTCACCCGTCCTGCGAGTGAACACACCGCCATAGTGACAGTATTGGGCAGCGCCACTCGTCCTGCGAGTGAACACACCGCCATAGTGACAGTATTGGGCAGCGCCACTCGTCCTGCGAGTGAACACGCCGCCATAGTGACAGTATTGGGCAGCGTCACCCGTTCTGCGAGTGAACACGCCGCCATAGTGACAGTATTGGGCAGCGTCACCCGTCCTGCGAGTGAACACGCCGGCCAAACTGTACAACACCCCTCAGTAAGCAGACAACTGGCTGGGTTGTTCATCCTGTCACTTGTACCAAGACACAGCCGGGACTTACTTAACCGTCTGGAGCAAACAGACTGTAAAACCAAGGGATTAACAACGTTCAAGTCGGCGATATACTGCGAGTGCAAAGTGGAGAAACCTTTCAAGAACAGGATCTATATAGAAAACGTGCTTTTCTAACTCTTAACATGGGGTTTATTATTCTACACAAATTGCTATGTCTCTTAGATGAACACAATGTCTCAGGTAGTGGTCCAGACGATGTCCTTCATAGTGAATGAGGTGATCGGCATTCTTGTTGTTATAGATTCAGCTACTCGAAACAAGTTCCAAGTAGCACGGGCTATGGTGAGCCCATAGTGGACTTACCTGACACAGGAGCGGTTGTTAGGAGCATATATATACATATTGACACACATCACAAACTATAAGGCATATTACCGAACATTTCTGAGTGATAAACATATACATTTCTTCCTTTACACCAGCAAGTCTTT